CGGGTTGCTGCCCTCCTCAGCTTGCAGGTAGGGGGGCGGGGACCGGGCTCTGGCAAGCCGGCGAGCGCCCAGGGCTCAACCTTCAGGTGGAGGTCTCCCAGGTAGTGGACAAGCGAGCTGGAAAACCCGGGGCTGGCTCTCCTGGGATGGGAGAGGATGTACTGGGGTCCCACGACGGGATTGTCCCGCTGGTGTCCAGATCCTGTACACTCACTCGAGGAGAAGGAAGGATCCCAGCGGACAGGAAAAGAAGATGCTGGGGGAAGCCAGGAGCCGCATCGTCTGTCTCAAGCTGCCTCTCCTGCAGCTCTGCCTGGCTCCCTAGCACACAAGGAGCTTCTTCCCAGGGCCCTCCACACCCCGGGAGTTTTCCAGTCCTGAGGATCCTGCAGCGCATTGGATATGCTTCAGTAAAATCGGGAGTGGAGCCATGGTGTGTTTATTTTCGGGCCTATCTCCACTACCATCCTTGTAGCATCGTCAAGGACAGGGCCTAGCATATGGCAGAGATTCAACCAATTGTTATCTTAGGTAATTCGTTTTTTTAGCAGCTAATTTTTAAGTGCCCACTAAATACCTGACATTGATCTGAGATGTAGGCTATAGCGGTCAATAGGACAAAGCTCTTGCTGTCACTGAACAGGCAAAAAAAAAAAAAAAAAAAAAAGGAAAAAAAAAAAAAAAAAAAAAAAAAAAAGGCACTGAATAAAATAAAGAAATGAACACAGGGGCAGGTAGTGATGATTGCTGTAAGAAAACAGATGGAGGGAAGAAGGAAATCAGACCGGAGATGGGGGAGGGACAATTAGGACAGGAGAGATCCTATCCTGCTTAGCTGAATAGTCCTCTTAACATCCTTCCCACCCAGGGACCAAGTGATCGCATTTCCTCTTCACTTCTGCCTGCCCCATCTGGAGTGTTTCCCCAGTGCATACTTAAAAGAAGAAGGGAAAAAAAAAAAAAACTGGTTGGACTCTGACTTTAGAGGTTCACTTTACCTTAATTAAAGCAGGAATGATCTAATTCTGATGACTCCAAGAGCAGTTTGTCAGAAGTGTTTAAGATGAGTATGGTTTGAGTGTGTCAAGGGTAATCACAATGTTAACAGGGCCTTCCTGTACCCCCAGAGAGAATGTTTTTAGCTCTTTAGATATCCCAGTTTTCCTGTGTCTTTCATCTGTGGCCCTAACCCTCTTCTGAGTCTTACTTCTTGTATTGTCTGGTTTTATGGCAACTTGACACAAGCTAGAGTCTTCAGACCAGGGAGCCTCAGCTGAGAAAATGTCTTCATAAGATCTGGTTGTAGGCAAGACTGTAGGGCATTTTCTAACTAGTGATTGATGGGGAAAGACCCAGCCCATTGTGGGTAGTGTCAACCCTGGGCTGGTGGTCCTGTGTTCTATAAGAAAGCAGGCTGAGAAAGTCAGTAAGCAGTAGCCCTCCATGGCCTGCCCTGCCTGAGTTCCTGCCCTCACTGCTTTTGGTGATGAATTGTTGTATGGAACTATGAGGAAATAAACCCTTTTCTCAAGTTGCTTTTGGTTTGGTGTTTCATCTCAACAATAGTAATTCTAGCTAAGATACTTCTTCATTTCTTGTTTGATCCCAGAGATTTGTCCAGTTAAAAATGCACGGGTAGTAGCCCCACATCACATAGCCATCTCATCTGGAACCTTTCATTTGTGTCAAGGATGGCCAAGATGTCTCACAGACCATGCTTCCTCCTCTTTCCTCTTCCCTTAGATATTAAGTACAAGCTCTGTCATAGGCATCGTTTTAGATGCAAAGACAGAATATTAAGGCAGGAACATTCCTGGCTCATAGGAACTTGTAGTCTAATTTGGAACAAGGCAGAAAGGCATGCATCTCAAAGGTCTCCAATCCTGCCAGTCTGGTGAGCAAGTATACCATAGCTAATAGTCCTCCTTGCTCTGGCTTCTTAAGGGGATAGCTTGCCTTACCTTCTAAGCCAGCTGCTGCAACAGCTAAAGGACCAGGAAGCGGGTGGTCAGACCCCTTCAGTCCAATTACCAGGATCAAGGGTTCTGGAACTCTCAACAGTCCTCAAGGGGCTGGCATCTATGAATTTATTATTCCTGGGATGAGGCTGAGAGAAATAAAAACTGGACAGAGAGAGCAGCACTTATATGCCAAGAGAGGCAAGAGAGAACCTAGGAAAGGAGAGGAGCTGGACAGAGAGGAAAGGTAGGCTTGGTAGCAGTTGCCATTCTCAAACTTTGAGGAAAGTCAGTAAGCAGGAAACACAAAGACACAATGTTGGGTAGTAAGACAAGGAATCAGTAGGAGTCGGTGATGGAATCACAGCCCAGTGGAATGCATAGGAGCAAAGGAAGTGCCTGGGGTTACATTCTGAAGACGAGATACTGCAAGATGCTCAGCAGAACCGAGAAGAGTTAGTGGATTCTAGCTCTTAAGCTCTTTCAGAGCAGCCAGGGCCCTCCCTGTAAGGCAGCACTGAGCTGCTCTTTGCTGAGTTCTGCCCAGAGGTAAAGTTGGTTCTGTTCTGCAGGGGTAAGGCATTTAGTGTAAGGTATGGATGAAAAGCAAATCTAAAACGACTATTTGGCCTGCTCTCAGTATGGCTGAAGGCTTCTGCTCAGGGATAATTCTCTAAGAAGCCATATAACATGAGTCTCAGTATGGGGCAGGGAAAGGAAGGAAGTTGATTCACAGCTCATCTTTCATTGGGCAGAGATTCACATCAGTTATTCACGGCTAGATGCCAAGCAAGCTTCTGTGGTGTCCCCAAACACAGTGTCAATAGGGACCCTGGAAGGAGGGCCATGAGACAAAGCACTCTCGGGATTCACTTGTGTAAAGTCAGAGCAGCTACAAGATGAAATCAGTTGACACCATGGGGCTACAAAGGCCTCATACAAAGATGAGACCAGAGATATAAGAATTCTGTACCATATAGTAATTTCCCATTTTCAGAGTGTTCCAGGAAGGGGAAAATATTACAATTCAAAAGGGTGGCCTCAGAAAGGCTTCCTGCACTTCTAGAACTTTCTGGTAGTAATTCAAGCAGAAGATGGAAGATGTCTGGCTATAATCTCTCAGTTTCCTGCCTCTATTCACTTCTCTGTTTCCTCAGTTAGACCATGAGCTTCGCCATTGTTCTTGACTCTAAACCTGTAGAACGAAGAGTCTATTTCTACCAGTCCATTTCATTCTCCTCACAAGCTTACGGCAAAATTATTCCTCTCACTGATCAGGTAGGCCCATCTTGCTGACCAAAAAGAAAAAGAAAAAAAAGAAAGAAAGAAAAGAAAAGAAATCTTGGTAGAAATAAAATTTCTGTCACTTCTGGGCATCCCCTAAACATTCTTGTTGAACTGCCAAGCTTGCTTCCTTCCCTCATGTGCTGGTCATAAGCACAGTTATCCAGAGGAGAACCAGGAAATGGCTATAGTGTGAGCCTGGCTTCCTGATTGACCTGGAAGAGCAGTACCCCTGTGTTTACCTGCACTGGATGATGCCCCTGGGCAAGAAATAAGCAGTGTCAAGTGGCTGAGATATGCAATGCCTACTATGTACCAGACACTTCACTAGCGCTTGAGTTACAAATCTGTCTTGTCCTGAAGGACAGAGAATTCAATGTCATGGTGTGCTACTGGATGCAACAACGTCTGAATGAATGTGTTGAACTGATATCAGAATCTAATTTGAAAGGCTCAGTGATCAAATAGGAAGCAAGGCAGCAGGTAGAAAGTGCGCCAGGAAGGGTGAGTGGCATGTGTAAAACTGGAGAGAATAGGGAAACTGGCTGAGTCTCAGCACTGACAAGGTTCATGATGTAAGAGGGAGATGGCCAGAGTGAGGCTAGAGAGAGGGCAAAGACCAGATCATAAAAAGGAATCCTGGTGAGGGGCTGATATGACAAAAAAATAAACCACATACTTGTATAAAATTATCAAAGAATAAATTAAAATACATATTTAAAGGAAAAAATGTAAGTTCCCGGTGATAAGACACCATGACCAAAAGCAACTTGGGGAGTAAAGGGTTTATTTTGGCTTACAGTTTATATTCCATCATGGAGGCAAGTCAGAGCAGAAACTCATGGCAGGAATCTAGAGACAGGAAACTGAAGCAGAGACCATGAAGGAACGTTGATCACTGGCTTGCTCCTTCTAGACTGCTCAGGAATGCCATTGGCTGCAGTGGACTTGGCACTTCTACGTCAAAATTGTCAATCAAGAAAATGCCCCACAGGCTTGTCTTCAGGACATCCTAATGGGGTCATTTCCTCACTTGAGGGTCCCTCTTCCCTGATGATCCTGGCTTGTGTCAAGTTGAGAAGAAAAGTAATCAAATGCACTCAAGGTCAACTGCAACAAGTAACAAAGGAAGTATTTGAGCCATCATAGCCTCATCCGGGACTGGGACTTTTCCAGGAACACATCCTGGGGAGTGAACATTGACCGGTGTGCTTCAGGATGAAGTGCACAGTGGTAGAACATGAAAATGCTTGAAGTACTGACCTGACTTCTAAGCACAGAAAAGAAACACATTCTAAGCAAATATTCTCAGAGTTTCACATTCTGCAGAACTTTTGATTCATGTGCATTTAATTTTAGTGGAATACAAGTTCTTGTGTTGTAGTGAGTGGGAATAAACTTTTGAAGTATGAAAAAAGGAAGCTTGAAATTTAACCGATAGGTATCCTTCAAGCATTTCAAATTAAGATGTCCTTTTGTCACACATTCAAGGCTGATCTCACTAGCTGTCTAGAAAAAGGAAGGATTAGAAAAGAAGAGCCAAAAATACAAGTTTTTAAAGCAACGCTTACCATTTTTCCAAATCATTCAATCCATGAGATGCCTAACCAAGTGTTTTGGGATGAGTATTTTTCAGGATTTGTGCATACTGTAGCTTTTGGGGGGTGTTCTTGGGAACAATGTATTATCATACCCCCCAAACTCTCAACTGACTTTGCATTATTAAAGTCTGTAAAACTCCAATAGTTCTTAAAATTACTTGACCACAGAACTCTTCTCATTTCACACCTACTACAACCGATATTACTTAGGATTAAATTTGCTGGAGAGATGGCTTAGTTAAGAGCACTTAATGTTCTTTCAGAAGATCCGAGTTCAGTTCCCAGCATTCACTTTGAGTAGCTCTCAACCACCTGTAACACCAGCAAAATCTAATGTTTCTGGCCATTGAGATACTCACACTCAAACACATAATTAAAACTGCTTAAAAATAACTCTAAAAGTAAAAGAAATAGCTGCAGAGGCATAATAATGATGAGATTTATTTCCTTCTTATATAAAAACTACAAGAAGCAAACAGTCTGATAGTGGCATGGTACATTGAAAAACAGGCTTCAATATTTTTGCTTCAGCTTCACCTTTTTTAGCTGTCACTCTTCATTTTATGTTCCAGGATGACTATTAATGTCCATGGAAGGAAACAGGAGATGGTTAAAAAAAAAAACTGCAAAGTGTGGAGCTGATTCAACAACCTCTCTGAAAATACTGTCCATCGCTTTTGTTTGTATCTTGTGGGCCAGAACTTGCTTTGCATACATTTTTCCAAGGCACAAAAGAAGCTGGGAAATATGATAATTTCTATATGTCAAGTTAAAAATCAGATCTATCACTAAGAGCTGGTATACTCAACTAGCAGAACTAGGTCGATGTCTCACAAAGGTAATGTTCCACAGAGCGTACACTTGGATAAAATGTCTAAGTAAGGAGATTGATTTTCTAAAACCGTTTTAGCCACTTTATTGTGGTACAAAATTCAATACTGTATAATTTGCCTACTGAAAGAGGTGAACAGTTTGATGATGTTCAGTAAATCTATACAGTCAAGCAGCCATCCCATCATTCAGCTTGAGAATATTTCCACCACCCGCCAAATTCCCATTGTCAGTTGATCGTCATTGGCACACACAGCCATTAATTTACTCCCCCCACCATATGTAGTATTTCATGTCTGTCATATTTCATATAACATTAAATATCATGTTTTGTTAACTCATTGTTTCT